CTCCGGACCACCACGCACCGGTTGTAGCGGTTTTGCCGCCCAGCCCCATGACTTAAGGCATTTGATCAACCCTGCCCTGGTGGTGCCATGCGGCAAAGGATGCATTAGGTAGATGTCCTGAACCTGAATCTTCATGTAAGTCTCGTGCGGTCTAAGCTCTGCAAAGGCCTTCTCCATATCACCATCTTTGAACCTGAGTCCCCAACGTTGGCCCAGCCTCACCAAAGCAATCGCCCCATCAATGGTTTTCTTCTTGTGCTCAGCTTCGCAATGTCCATGCTGATTCAGCCAGATAACTCCATATCCTGCTGCCGGTCCTTTTCCATCATCCTGTCGAGGCTCCACATAGAAACCACGCTGTCCTGACAGAGTTTGTACCTGTTCTGCTGCTGAGCTAACCACTCTGGCCAACACTGAGAATTGGCCCGCATCCTCCGGCTTCACCCTTCCACCTCCATCAGTTCGGGACCATCGTCTTTCCCAGATGTCAGTGAGCAGGCTCTCATAATCTTGGTCCACTGGACAATGATGTCGCACACAGTCTCCGCCACAAGCATCACCCCGACAGATAGTAAGGCCCGGGATGGCCTGAAACAACTGTCGAAGAGGACCCTGACAGAACGATTCCCAGTTGCCCCCTGTCTGTTCAAACTCATCTCTAAATACCTGCAGTCGTAGTGTTGCCATAGGCAAAGCATTCAGACTTGGAGGATTGGAGGCATGGTGCCGACTGACATTCTCATCACCCAACTGAATCAGCGACCCCTGCACAAGCACTGGCTCTTGCGTGCCCTGATAAAGCACCGGGTAGCGCATGTGATCAACTGGAAGTAGACCAATCAGATCATGTGGAACCTGTGAGGTAGTCAACAATGCAAGCGGTGACAGACTCAGACTTTTCCCCTCTTTGAGATAAGGGCCAGCCTCAGCCACTGTTGCAAATGCCACTCCTGTAGCCTGACTAGACACCTCAGCCAGTTGGATCTGCTGCAACGCATTGCCCTCTGAGTCAACAAATGAACCTGCAATCAGGCTGAGTTGGCATGGACTGATCTGCAGCGGTTGAGGTTCTGCTCGGTCACGTCGATTGTCCTTCTTACGAGAAGCTGACGACACTCCATGGTTCTCTTCAGCACGTGCTCTAACCTGTTTCATGAGTTCATCAGCCTTCACCCATTGAAAACGCACCGATGGCATGGAACCAAGCTGTTTCAACTCAGCCCAGGGGTGCTTCTGACGCATGGCCTTGGCCATGGCTGGTTCCCCTACTGCTGCAATCCCTGCCAATGCTCGCTCTGGGGCACGCTCCTTTGGAACTCCCTTGGTGATCAGCAAATCTGCCACCTCCTGAACAAGACGGTGCTCTGAGCCATCTTGACCACATGCCCAAACTGAATGAGAGGCTTCCCAAGAATCCTGGAGCAAGTGATGAAGATCCGTCAACTCTGTTTGAGTCCAAGTCTCCTCAGGGCGTAGAACCATGGCCAAGTGGGCAAGAGCAATCACACCACAATGATCATGCTGCTCCTGAGTCAGTGCTGTGACAAAGTTAATGACGAAGCCTCTGGCCGCTAACACGGTCTGAGCCCATTGAGCCACTGAGGTCACCATTTGATCATGTGCATGTGGCAGTCCATCGTAATAGTCCACCTCGACCCAACCCATAGAATCTCGAATCACCAGAAGGAGCCAATGATGTGCTGACTCAAGCAAGAGAGCAACCGACTGGGTCAATGGCAAGTGCTTCTGCAGGAAGGCAGTTGCCTCCTCTTCATTGCCATGTCCCAGGGCAACACTGAATAGTACTGGCATCAAAATCACTTCACCTGTGGTTTCAGCCATGAGATGGTCCGCAAATCGAGCCATGGCCAACAGGTCAACCCCTTCTGCCGCTGGGATGTCCTCAATCTCCATCTGGGAATCTTCATCCTGCATAGGCACCATCAACCATTCATGCCATTGTTCCAAGTCAGCCGAAGTGGGTGCACTCAGGAGCGTGCAAGCCTGTCGTAGATGTGCTAGAGCCACTGCTGCACTCAAGTGAGGCTGAGGCTGCACTACCATTCTAGCAAAAATCACCTCAACGTGCTCGAGATGCCAAGAGTCTGCTGGCCCATTCGCCGACTCCCCTCATCTCATGGTCCAGCAAATGAATCACTCCATCAAAGTAGTGCACTTCAACTTTGTCGGCAGCTCGGATGCATGAGAACATAGCCCAATGGCCACAGCTATGAAATATTCCATGAAATACCAAGCACTGACCACATCGATGAAGCACAGTACTTGGAAGGTGCAACGGAGCATGAACCAGCACCTGTGCTTGTGCTACTGAGAGAAGAATCTCATCTGGTCCAGAAGGGCTCAAAGCCAAACCATCAATAGCTCGCTGAAGCTGAGGTCCTGTGATGTCATCTTGAGGCTGTTGATACTTCACACCCGTGTCCAGAGGCCCTGCACTGGTCAGCACCGGAACGTCCTGCAGCGTGATGTCCTCCCAGATCCTTGAATCCGGAAACCAGCAGCCATCATGATCATCATACAGCCTGACTGGAGCCACCTGAAGGCGCAGCCGCCAGAAAGCCTCAAAAAGAAAGCTACCAGCATAGATCAAAGTTTGCCATGTCATCCCTTCGGAAATCAGCTTCACCATGACCAGGTTCACCTTGCCTGTTTGTCCTGAGGCTTCATTTCTCACTACCGTATAGGCTCCATTCTGCCCTGATGGATGCAGGATGGCAAGACCATGCAAACGGACACCTTCATCTTCTAGCGCCACCTCAGAGCATGCAAGCAGCCTGCATTCAGCTGCTAGGAAATCTTCCACCTTGTGGATGCCCACTGATGCAATAAGCTCACTGCCAAGAGCACTCCAGACATGTGTCAACTGGCGATCAGGAATGGTCTGTGGTGGAAACACATGATACCTTCGACGAAGCAAATCATCAAGGTAGGTCTTGAGGGCCTTCTCTGGAGATGGCAAATTCGCAAACAAAGGACACCAAATCTGAGCAAGCAACCAAAGGGCCTGCGCCGGTGCGGCAATTTGACCCAACATTACCAAGCTGGCACGCAGATCGTCATTGAAGACCATGTCCGGCATGATGGTTTGCAGTACTGCGAGTTCACGGGGGTGAAGCCATCGGGGCATTCCACTCAACTGGGAATGGACATACACTCCCCGCAGGCCAGCCCTCTCCAGCCTCTCGGGGCTGAGTCCCTGACTGCGGCAATTGCAAGGACATCCCATCAACTGACTTCCATAGGAGTGAAGGAATGTGGGCGCAACCCCATTGGTCTGAAGCACTCGTTCCTCCAGTCCGAAGCTAGGTTCATGGAATGCATGCAGCTCAACACCATTCAGTTCAAGTTGATCTTCTTCATGTTCAGGCCAGCACGGCCATGCTGGAATCACATCACTGACACTCGGAAAAGAGAAGCTGGGCCATGATCTCAAGCACACGGGCAGCCAAGCATGTGAGGTAATCACTGCCCACCATCTGTGACGCCGGCAAGGCCACAACTCTTCCAAAGCAAGCTCAATGGTCCTCATGCCAAAACCCAAGCCTCCTGCCAACTGAGCCAGGGTGTTCTGGATCTCCGGTACAACACCTGCCTCCACAACGCACTCCAGTAGAATCAACCCCGGTTGCATGAGCCATGCAGCCCGTGCAACCCCCATGAACACTGCCGCCCTGCTGTCTCCCATGCCCTTGGCGTCCCCCTGCTTCGAAAAAGGCTGACAGGGAAAGCCTGCTGACAAGGTGCCTCGCTTGGCTCCATTCAACAAGTGCATGCGACAGATGTCACTATCTCGTAGCACTGAGCCCTGGATCGGGTTTGGATGTCCATTGTCCCGAAGATGTGAGATGGCAAGGTGGTTCACATCTAAGGCTCCCACAGCCCAGCCTCCTATTTGAGCCGCCCCCATGGAGATGCAAGCAATGCCACTGCATAGCTCTTTCACTTCACGTAGATCCTCCACGCTAAGCTGACCTCTAGCCACAGTCACCGAGGACGCGTCAATCAGCAGCAAAAGCCCCATGCTATCATGATTAACCTGAGCGTCATACACAGTAACACGACCAGAGATGTCATCTGGAAGACCTGCGATTCGAATCATCTTTCCGGAAAGCGGCAGGGTCGCCATTCGAGGCGACAAACCAGGAGCTCCAACGTCAATCACCCCAGTCCATCGTCCAGGAAAAGGAATGTCCAGCGGGTGTAGTTCCATGACCTAAACCACATCCCTCGAACTTCCGTAGCTAACGGTGAACCTCTGGTAGGATTCGAGCCGACACTATCTTCAAACAAACAAAAGGCAAAATCATCAAACTCCAAGTTTTGGTCCCAGCTCTTCCAAGCTCTAGAGCCGACCCGCATCCCGCTTCCTGGCCCACGATTTTTAATCCCGACAGTAGCACTCTTTCACTTAGGGACGTTCGACTCCCCAACCAGCTCGTTCCAGGTCGTTCTGTTCTCCATGTTCTGTCCCATGCGCCCGGAAACCGGGACACCGCGTCCGGCCCCTCAATCGGCCCCGGGCCCGTTCCGAACGGCCCGGAAACCGCCCGTTTCGACGGCGTCCAGGGGATCCATCCACAGACCTGCCGGAAGACCTGGGGATGTACCGGAATTCCCAGGCCCATTTCAATGAAGGCAGCGTAAACGGCGTAACCTTTATATTCTTTATATCCTTTGGCACGTCGTCCTGGTTTGCCACGTCCTTTGGTAGAGAACACTCTGAGGTTCCACCAGCACCTGACTCTACAGGTCTCCGAGGTCATGCAGGTGACCTGGCAGACTTCAACGTTGGAGGCCACCTGTGAGGTCGGGCCCTGGCATGTGACCATCATGCGAGTCCCCACACAGAGTGCCCTGCCCTTAGGTCTCTTGTGGCGTCCGCAGGTAGCGATGGCCTCCAACCTAGTAGCTTCTTGCCCTTAGGTCTCATCTTTTTTCATTTCTTTTTTCGTGCTTTTCCTCTTTTTCGACCAAGCAGCGTGACTGAGATCATGAGCAGCAAGACCTGGATCGCAGCTCGACCGCCCGCGAGATCGACGGTGAAGCATCGGCACCAACGGTGTCATGGCTGAAAAACCATCGATGCCTTTGGCTGGACTGGGAAGCACCGGATGCTTTCGGGATGCCATACTGTGAAACAGCCGGGTTTGCACATGGTGAAAGCCGGATGTCCGGGACTGGCATCTGCTCCCCTTTCCAACCACCGTTGGCCGTTTCTCGGCAGTCCCATGGCAGTCCCATGCATAGTCGTGTCCGGGCATGGTTTGCCGGATGTGTTTCTCTTTTTGTTCAAAACATGAACCCGATGACCGACCACCCATACCGACTGACCCAACTGACTCGTCGTAGCATTTTAAAACATGGGACATGACCCAAAATTGAACAAAAACAAACAAACAGGTACAGATTGGGCCCCCCATTTTCTGAGGTACTTACTGAGACCCCAGGTATATGGAAGATTCACCTATAGACATTCCTATACAGCCTATATGCAGTCTATATACATTGACCCTTCACACGCCGCCAATTGATTGGTCATGATGCCAGTTTGGGATTGAACCTCAAAACACCCTTGTGTTGGTTCGGGCGCCTTGCTCCTTAGGGTAAGACGTGTCTTCGCCCAGCAGAATCCTGTACTGACACTGTCCGGGTCACCGGCAACGCTGGAAATGCAACTCCGAGCTTTGGTGCTGGTCGATTTTCGAAACCTTCCAAGGGATCGTACGGAGGTCTCCCTATTTGAGCTACGCACCCGCGGGAGGTTTCTGCAGGAGGTGCGTCACACGCGGGTTGCTACGAGTTCGGCCAGTCCGCCGAGTTCGTCGGCTTCGACCCTGGCGGATCCGGCGGAGCCTGTCATCGGCACTGTTGGGTTTTTCAGGGATTCTCCAGGCACTGACCTCCCCGGACGAGGACGGCTCGGAACATAGACCTGTCTACCATATAGACCAGGCACTTGGAGCTAACAGAAGCGACCAACCACAAAAGACCACCTTTGGGTATGTGGGAGACCAACCTGTCTCTTGTCTGTTCCATCGGGTTCGTCTCCCTATGACCAACATATACCAACTCTACGTCTTGAATCCTCTTTGCTTGGTCTCCCTGTTTGCCCTTCGGACTCAGACAGGCCGCCGGATGCAAAGCGACCAGCTGCGCAATGGAGAGGTAGTCCAGGAAGCCGGGTCCTCGCCGCTTCACAGTCCACGACCAGGACCAGAGCTGAGTGTGGAGCAGGATCCACCCAGGTCTGGGGGTGGTAGAAATGAACCTTCCCTAAGAATCCGATCCCGAACCAAAACACATACGGTTTGGGAACCGGGCCCGGACCCCTGCGTTTCGAGGTCGGGTCCGACCCCTGCCATGGAGAGCCCAAGGATTGTTAGGATTTGGAGCAGAGCCTAGAAGCACCACAGGTCACCTGGTAGTCGTCATGATCCACAACTCTTTTGGGAAAAAAATCATCGTCCTCAGGACACCCTTTTTGGCTTTGAGACCCTGACCCTGATGGTGTTTCGGGGCCAGTTTTACTGCAGGTGGGATCTTCCGAATGGCTTGACCTACCTTGACCTACCGTGGTTTCGGTCGTTTTGGAGGTCTTCAGACCTCTGGTCGGGCTTGACTGTTGGGTGGGTCTGGGCCCTTTTCACACCTCTGCGACCGATTGGGCGGACCCTGCTTCGGCCAAAAAGACTAAGAACCAAAGGAATCCCATTACACAACCCATGGGACTGCCGGACTGCGGCCCCAGGCCCGACCCCCCGGCACCACCGTCGGTCGCGTCTGGGAATACACTCCACCTACCCCCTCAAAGGGTCGAAGCGATGGAGGGGTGTGAGAACCCCCTGCACCCTAGAATCTATGGTACCTGACCCTCTTGAACAGGCAATCTGTACCATCCTGTACCCATTTTTGTTTGGTTGCTTTCTCTTTAACGTTTTGCGAATAAGCAGGTCCAGTTCAGAGTGAGCCGGAGCACCATTTGCTCCAAGCTGGAGCGCCTTTCATCTCATGCTCCCCCACCAAACCAATCTCTTTTTGGTGGACAAATCACCTTTCTGTACCCGGCCTTAGATCAAGGGGCAGTAAGGGGGCGGAGAGGATGTCACCAAACCAAAATAGTAAGTTGACATCCTTGGATTTGCTGAAGGAACCTGCAAAAAACAATCATGTTTCCCAGAAGGGGATTCACCCATAGGGAAAATGAACATCACCTTAAGCAAAACCATGCATCCCTTATCGAAGAACCTGTTCATGTTCATGTGTCACCAAGGGTGCCCGGCTTCATCCCACAGCATAAATAATGTGATACTAGTCGTGGTGAACAATCGTCCCAAGTAAATTGATTGACACAACATTGATTTTGATGTGACCGACACTCCAAGTGTCTTATGTGGGCTGAAAACACGTTGGAATGTGGTGAGTGTATTGTCGTATGCAGCTCTGGAGGCAGTTTTCGGGTTTCTCCGGTCCAGATTTGCAGGCATCGGCCGGGGTTGAAACAGCGAAGTCAGATTGGGAGCTACTGGAGGAAAAGGATGCCGATGTCAAATCCTGTACCAAGTGGTCTAAGGTGAATAACACTTTGTTCATGTCCAATAAACATGGCTTGGTGGAAGGGTACTTCCAAAGTTTGAATCCAATACCAGCAAGCACCTAGAAATAACACTGGCAGGAATCTTATACATAAGACATTGATATTTCCAAACGTTCCCTTTGCTTCTGACTGAGATTAGATCAATTAGGTACAACATTCATGCCAACTTTGTGAAAAAACCTGATCCATGCCCCTGCAAAGGAGCTTCGTCCCTGCAAACACACCCCAAAATGGACATCAACGGCTGGCCCTTGTTTTCTGGGATTTTCATGCTCTGCGACTCTTTCATCAGTGCTGCTTCGTCATCAAAAAAAGAAGTGACGCAGTGACTGACTATCATCACTTTCTTCATGTGTCCATCGTCCGTCCTTGAGGGGTGAAGAACCGCATGGAGCACAGGAGCATACAAACCACCAAGTAGGCCCGCACAAAGAGCCTCATTGGCGGCCCGGTCTTCGCGCGACCTCTTCGCGCGACCTCTTCGCGCGACCTCTTCGCGCGACCTCTTCGGTCTTCGGCGTTGTCGCGCGACTCGCCGTTGTCCCAAAAAGGATCGGCTTTTGGTCCTCTATTCCATCTGTCGCGCATATCCCGTATGCCGTATCGTGGACACTCTGGTCCGCTCGATACAAAAGAGGTTCAAAGATGTCAAAGACCTCTATCTATATTCGTATTTAGTGGGGAAACCATTTCTTCAAACAAGGTTATAAAAGGTTATCCACTGACGGCAGGGCAATGCGCATGCAGAATGGATCTGGGCAAAACTGAGTCCTCCGTTGTCAACTTCGACAGCTACAAAAAAGATGAGATTCGTGGTACTTGCGGGATGTTCACCATTTTGGATTCATAGGGGGATCTTCGCACTCAAATTTCTCCATTGGGTCCGATTCAGTAACAGCTTCATCCTTCTGGACTGCCTCGTATCTTGACCTATAAACTAACTAGTAAGGGGTTGGGGAACTCCTTGTAGCTCCGAACGGCTCCCGGTTGAATGGGGAAGATGGATGCCCCTGGCTCCTTAGCTCCCTCCTGAGCAAAAGCTAGCTAAAAACATGTCGGGTTGCCTATACCAGCACCCTCCAAGGTTCGGCTGTTTGAAGAGCCGACCACAGGTGGGCTCTTCCTGGGCACCGCCCTGGGAAACACCGGAAACACCATCTAGTCACTACATTGGTGGCCCCCCGTCGTCAGATCACATCCCACTCATCGGATTGAACCGTTCGGAACGGCGTTCGGCTTTGGAGTCTGAAACCGAACCATGCCGAACCGAGGGGCGAGGTTGCGAGGTCCCGTCCGCAAGAGGAGTGTGTAGGACGAACGTCTGAAAGGTCTTTGTGAAACACTTAGCCTAGTTAGCTTCTTGTTACTAGTAGTAATGGCCTCCAACCTCATAGCGATGGGCTGCAACCTAGTTGCTTCTAGTAGCTCCATGATAGAAGACTGTCCGAAAGGTCTTTGTAAAACGCATCAATCAGTGCTGGGCCAGGAATCATAGAGGGTAACCCTAGCCCTAGCCCACTCCGTGTATGAACACCACCTCCATATGCAGGTATATATTGCCATATACAGTGGTTTCAGAGGTTCGATGGCACGTTTCCACCATGATGCCCTGATGTCCATGGGGGGTCCGTATAAACTACCGACATTGGGTCTGTGCCATTGTTCCTCTCAATCCACTATATCTGGTTCTTCAAAGCGACCTTTTGATCCCCTGGTTTCAGGTGAGGTCACTGAGGCTTGTACAGGGTCACTTAACGGTAACTATATATACTATAGGATCATAGGAACTCCAAAACAGTCACTTTGAAGAAGCTGGTACATGAAGATAAAGATACATGAAGTGCATCTTTGGGTAGGGTCATTCATCTTCACCGGCACTTCGCACTTCGCCGCCTCAGCTGCATCGTCTCGTCCATCCCCCCCTTCCGCTGGGCCCAGCAACGACCAGCGCGTCGCCCGTGGGCTGACGCCCGGCAGGGGCAGGCCCACGGCAGCGGCGAAGGAGACAAAGTTCTTGGGAAAGACCGCCGGATCTGCCGGTGACGGCCGACGGGTTTTTTTCTCGGAATCCTTCGGAAGACCCCCAAGAAACTGAACTGAGGGACAAAGGATGGCCCAGACTTGGGTCTTGGGCGTGGTGAATGGTTTATAGTACTATAAACCTGGAACCCAATTGACCCCTGTTTTGATAGGAAAAGGCCATATTTGGGGTGGTTGGTGGTCCAAAATAGAGGTCATTCAGGTTCTAGGAATGCATATATTGTCGTGGAACTGAAAGATCAAGGGCGGAGAGGCCAAGAGAGGCCAAGCGAGGCCGGACGAAGGCATGAGTTCGCTCGGACGAGGAAGTGAGGCATTCGGGTGGTTGTTGGATGTTCAATATACATCATCTTCAGGGCAAATTCGAAAGCACCCGACCTGGATGGTGCTGGTATAGTATAGCGATGCAATTTGAACATCGAACACGAACAGCAGATTTGAACATCGGACCCCAATTTCGGTTGGGAAAGCGCATCATCACCGGTCTCACAGGCGGCTTGGGCGATGACGCTAGGCCCGGTTGGCTTCTTGGAATCGGGCGATGACCGCATCTCTTCCCCAGGTTTCGAGGGAGTCATCCATCGAAACCAAACACCTCACCACGGTCCATGCCATCACAGGGGTGAAGCAGCAGAACGAGGTCCATGGTTTGGGGCTTCTTTCGAACTCGATGGCCTGTGTCCTCGTCATAGGGGAAGAGTTTGTAGAAGAGGTCCTTCCGGTGTTTCCTGAAGCGGACTGGCAGAACCAGGCAGAACCAGGTTTTTTGTCTTCTTTTTGGATGGAACAGAATCAAAGACAGAGTCTGGAGGGTCTAGACGTCTATAAACCACCCGAACTGGGTGGTGCTGGGTGAAACCATGGGTCTTTTGCGGCTTTACAGACGCCCCTGCGAAGCCAGGACCCGGCTATGTACCACCTCCGAATGGGACACCCCGAAGCACCAACCCGAAAAGGGCAAAAGGCCTGACATGGACTGATCCATTGGGCTCTAACGTGGAGAAACGCATGGCCCCTATGCCCTGGCCGGCCTCGAAACCTCGGATCCCTTTTCTTTTTTTGCAATCCGAAGAGCCCCCAAACCAACCCGGCGCCTTTGGGCCTAACGACACCACCAAACCAAGCACCCTACCGTGCCGTACGTGTTCTGACTTCACCGCCGTGGTCGAGTCAAAGCACCCAAGCTCCAGGGGTCAGAAGAAAAAGAACCGTCCTAACACGTGGAGGTCCCAGGAAAGCCAAACACGACCGATTTCGGGGACTGCCGACGGACGGACTGCCAATCAAGCCAGACCCCCCCAAAAGCACCACCACCCCAAGTGATGTAGGCCGGCAGTCCGTCCTGGCAGTCCCAGAAATCGGTCGTGTCTGGGAATGCAAGGTGGAACAGGTCACAGGATGCCGGCGTTTTCGAGCAAGCCGAACATGCCACCATCCTACCAAGGAGATTCCTTAGGGCCTTAGGGGGTGGTTGATGGACACCCCTGAATTTTCGAAGAAGGGCCCCCCCAGGAAGCTTGGGGGGGGCGGTCGACATGAATAGAACCAGTGTTGCCCTGTCCATCCTTCATGGCCCTTTCAGGGATCTTCTTCGTTGTTCCAGCAGCGCTATCCTTTGGGCGGTTTCCGTCGGATCGTTTTTTCATGGTCGCTGGAGTGAAGGGAGCCAGAAGCGACCGTGGGGTCTGTGAATCCCCGTGGCGCCCATCGCAGGTGGAACGCCAGTCCCAAGCAGAAACAGTTCTGGATGTTCCGAAGCTTGGCCTTCGAAATTTCGATCCTTGACATAGCAAGAGGTTGGAACTGTTTCCTTTCCACATCCACATCCATGCATTTCGGACTAGGTTTCCAGGTCTGCATCCTGCACGGCCCGAGCCTCAACCAGAAACAAATCAGGTTCCCTACAAGCCTATCAGAGCCCAGTAACACCTGGTCCCATTTCATTGAAAACCAAGCAAGATCAAACCAAGCAAACCAAGCAAGATGGTTTGATCAAGCAAGATGGAGTTTCTGTCTGATCAAACCCTAGATGCGATCCTCGACCAGGGGCTTGGTCCGGTCACAAGGTGCCGATCTGCCGCATTTGGAGAGGTAGGAAAACACATGCCAGGACCTTCCAAGAGGTGTCTATAAATAGCCTTGTAGGGGTTAAGGGGTGTCCAGAAACCACCTGTTGGAAGGTGCTGGTGGGGGGGGGCACCAACTTGAGCACCTGCCGACCAGTTGCTGTATATGATGACTCTCTTCTGCTTCCTCGCTGATGTCCACCCACTGGGCACGGCACCTTGGAGAAGGGAATAAAAGCCACGGCGCGCCTGAGATCTCGAGGTTCGTGTCGTGCTTTTTCGTTGTTCGCGGTGTTTTTGTAAGGATGTCCTTCCTGTCTCGCATGGCTTCCTTCTCATGAAGATGAAGCAGCGCAAGTATGCTTTTCACCGTGATTTGAGACATGCAGCGAACGAGGACAAGGACTGGAGCAGGTACATTCTGTCCACCATTCATGTCCACTTGCAGGACCTACAACCCTCAGTTTGGTTGAAAAATAGTTAATTAAACACCGTTTTCAACCAGTTCATCTTTCGTGGGGCCCCAATGCCCCAAAAAGAGATTTTCAGGGCGATGCCACATCTTTTCTGTGTAAAGGACAAACTATTCACACGGAAAACACATCAACTCAGGTCCCTCCCCGCCGCTCCCTCGGCGGAAACGGCCCAAAAGGGAGAAGGAAACTGATGCGTCCCAGCGGCATCTTCTCGAAGGTCACGGAACGGAAGTCGGGGTCGCTGAAGTAGGGGATAATCAAATTGCTTTCAAAGATGCTCCTTGGGTTGTGCGAAAAAGACAAAACAAAACGCGTCTAAACGCGTCTTCTTCCTTCGTTCGGTGGGTTGACGGCTCCTTCGTCTGTGGTTTGCATGGTGAGCAAAGTGCTATACCAATACCAACAGCCCCAACTTGGATGGCCAGAAGCCAAAGTTTTTAAAAGAGCAAAGCGCCCAACCAAAAACAAACAGCAGGGTTCCCACAGCGGTTCCCTCGTCTTCGTTGGTATGGCTCAATCGACCAAAACCGGATCCTCCACTGGTCTTTTTGAAAAAACCCTGGAGATCCTCCACTCAGTGGAACTCGGAACTCGGAGGGTCCTGCGGGTTTCACTCCGCGTCCGATGTGAGGCAGGGATCCCAAACCTAAACAGACGGTCCCAGGTCAACCACCCCTAAGGTAAAGTTATCGGTTATATGGAGTGACCTGGGACCGTTATAAAGTGATGCCTTTATATGAAGTGATGCCTTTTTATATGGAGTGTTTAGTGTTTGGGTCATAAAAAGGCATCACTTCATCTTTGTAGGGTCCAGTCCAACCACCCCAAGTGAAAGGGAGTCTGGCTTGAGCCGGAAGACTTTACAAGATAAAGAAACCCCACATACCAGGACAATGCATGTATGGAATATATGCCAAGTCAACCACCCCAATGTTGGCCATTAGGCCAGTCCCATGGATGGCCTGGACTGTTGGGTCATATATAAAGAGCTGTTCAATCCAAATGGGGGGTTGTTGGATTCATCAACCGTCTGCATTACTTATGGAAGAACACTGAACATTGGTTCAAGAATGTTCCAGATATGGAGGTTCATCTTCCCAAACACATTGATGTCCTGCACCCAACCCCAATCATTGCATGCAAATTAGACCTCAGCCGGAGACATCAAACACAAGGTGGGTGGTTTCTCCCCGGTCCAAACAACTTCTCATGCGAAGAATGTGATTCCTTGGGTCTATCCTATTACCCGCAACAGTGGATGAGTGGATGATGGTTAGTAAAGGCCTTGTTCAATCGTGATCATTGTTTACTAACAGTTACAGGTAAGAACGGACAGACCCAAGTGATTCCTGACAGAGTGCTCCCCAAGCGTTCTCCTCTTTTCAGATTGAGCCCAAGCTGACTCTGACCTGCTGAAAACCACCAGCACGGTTCGAGGCACCATCTGAAGAACACATTTGGCGGTGGATGCAGCGAAAGGAACAGGTACCACTTCAAGACATCCAACACATGATTGCCAGGCTCAACACCATCTAAAAAGCAACAAAATACCTATGTCGACAGACCAAGTCTAAGCCCTGAGAACTCACCAGTCAATTCCGAAACGCCAAAGACATCCAACACATGAAAACCAGGCTAAACACCTGCTCCAGCAACAAAACACACCTATAGACAGACCTATAGACAGACACCTGCAGCCAGGCATCTTCAGATCGCTTGGGCACTTGCTAATGAGTTCATCAATGCTCGGCTTCCCTTGCATCTCCTCAACGGCCGTGGCCGTCGTGGCCATCTTCGCGTCGCGTCGCGTCGCGTCGCGGTTTCTGGAAACCCGCGGGTTTCGAGCCATCAACGTGGCTTGGACGGGGAAAAGCACCAACGCAGCATTTGCCACGTCGCAGGCGGTTGCCACGGACGCGTCACTCACACTTCTTGGTTCCACGGTTGCACTTCATCACAGCCCCCGTTCAGAACGCACCGACACCCCGTGGCCGTGGGGGGTCACCGAAGACCGTGGCCTTATGGCTCGCCCCGGCGAAACGACGCCGAGCGTCGTCGGTCTCTCCCAGCAGGATGAAGTTCCGCCGGGCCCCGATAGCCACCCTCATCTGGTGCTGCCATTTGGCATCGGAGGTGCTTCCTCAGGCGATCGGCTGGCGAGGGCGATTGCCGGTGCTCGGGCGAGCTCGTTCTAGAGGGGCAAACAAGGGGCTGGTGAACGCGCCCAGCAAGCCACCCGAAAACACCAACAGCTCGGGAGCAGACTGGAGCAGACTGGGTGGAGGACCAGAAGGTTCTCATCTTTTGGGAAGTGGATCTAAGACATCCTGCATCCACTTCCTTTCACTTTACTGCGAAAGGGGGTAGGAAGGGTGGAGCTCCCTTTCTAAACAAACAAGACTATCAAATGCCAAGTTGACCTGGAGAAGAAGAATAACGTGACCGCAAACAGGTGTTCATGCAGCCCACCCAGGAATGAAAACTCGCCGGGCAGCCGTGGGTCAGAAAGACCAAGATGTTTCCTTGGATGGCACAAGTCCTGAGAAACCGATAGACTCAAAGCTTTCAGAGTGGCCCAGTGTGAACATACCCGAAGTATATAAGTAGTGCCAGCAAGTGAATCAGCTGGTGCAATGTCGGCTCTTCCTTTATAAGCCCCCGCAATATGATCTTTTACACTCCAAATGGGCGGGCCTTTGGATAATGAAACTGTTTGCCTATGTCTACCTCATGTATTCCTCACTCTATATCTAGGATTTCGTTTGGGGAACAACACCGTAGCGATCCAAGAGGCGAGAGTAGCAAATGCCGTCCACCAGAGTCTTGTCCTCGCAGTGGGACGGCATACGACCCCTACGGTCCCAAGTACTTCAACCAAAATGGGTACCACGTACATGGTACCACCGAGCCAGGCTACAGGAGCTTCGAAGTCACCTGCGATCTCAAGGGATTGAATGTCCTGTTGTCATAAGGTCATCTCCCATTTCCAACCGTAGGGCACGAAGGGCCTTGTCCGCGTGTGACAGCCGTGCTGGTCTCGGTGCTCGAAGGCGCCGTCGGCAGAGTTGACTGGAGGTGGCTGCCTTTTGACACCTCCACCACACAAAGACCCGCCCCCAAGCACTGGTCTCCCAAAAGGCGGCCTTGCAGATGCATCATCTTTTCACTCTACGGTCTTCTAAGGTCCTGTTCTTCTTCCCATTGTCATGCCGCGGAGACTGACCTGCTCTCTACATGCGTTTACAGCTCCCAAAAAGGAAGCGCTCCCCCAGAAAGGGGACTGTTTTGGGAACACCTGCTTTTTCCAACTCTATAGGGACCAGGTAGAGATCGTTTTCGTGGTAGATGGCAGACTCCCCAAGGGTCGCTGGTTTATATATATATATATATACCCTGGAAGTCGTGGCCCACCATTGTTTTGATAGCCTGAATCCCGAACCACCGAGCTGTTTTACTAAGGGTTTTACACTACAAAACCAGATCAACCATTTTAAAGATAGTCTTTGACTTCCAGGGTATATATATGGAACCCCATATACTTTGAAGCCATTGCAAGTACTTCCAGAGAATGGTCGATCTGGACCATCCTCAAGATGCTGGACCATCTGGGAACTCTAGAAAACCCTACAGGTCCAGTCTGACCAAGTAAACCATGGTCCTTTACTTCGTAGAGCTTTTCTTTGTAATGTAGACTCTTGATTAATCAACTCCCCATATGAAGAGGATTTTCCATTTCAATTGGGTGCTTTATTAATCATGAGTCTACATTATGACAAACCAGTCAAATGAGGTCAAATCTCTGACCTGAAAAACTATATGTTTCACGTCTGACTTTTTTCACTGTCGCGCAGCGGAAACTATCGTCACGCAGCGGAAACGTCGCGGAAAGCGTCGCGTTCGTCAAACCATTACGCCAGTCCGTGGAATCGTGCTGCTCGTCCAACCAAAGTTTGCAACCTGGCGAGTTCATGTCGTCGACGCCTCGAAGGAAGGAAACAGGTGGACTTGGATTTCGTTGGTCCAGGACGCCTGGAGAACAGCACAACACATACTCGCTTTCGGTTTGGGGGATTTCACTAGGAACCGGGAAAATCAAGAAAAGCACCATCAATCCGCAGTTCACCGCGTGGATGAGTCGATCTGGCGATCGAGAAGAGGGAGAGAAGAGGCCTGGTTTCTTCTCAAAGGGCTCCATCAAGGTGGAGGCCGGTGCCGTCCATCAAACCACTTGCTAAGGCAGCTGAGCGACTCCAGCTAGCTGAGGCGACTCCACGACTCGTGACTGGGGGCGCCAGACTCCACTAGGACTGCTGATCGGCCGTTTCGCAGTCCGACATGGCAGTCCCAGACAGGGAGCGTCGGGGGGTATAGTTACTACTACAGACTCGACTTGACTCGACTTGACTCGACTCGACTACACTTCGGTCGCGCTTGTTGCTAATGGACCCGTCGCCGCCTTCAAAGCGCTCCGGCAGCGCGTCGTAGAGCGCCGAGACCGCCTTCCGACCTGGCGGGAGCCCAAGCAGAACGGAAAATGGTTGGGTAGGTCACACTTGGGTAGGTCTCCCTGGACCTGTTCCATAGTCTTGACGGAAGAGTCTTTAGGTTCTGACTCCTTCAGTCTCCATGGAACATAAGAGGTTCACCGCACGAACTCTGCCTGTTCGAACGTGAAAGGTGAGGTGTCCCCATTCCCAAAAGCTGTTAGCAGGTGATCCACGTACTTCCAGGGTACAAGACTGGAGGTGTCACACTTGTGGCTCAATTGGTTTTTCATCCACTTGATGAGGATGACATGGGATCACGAAAACACCTGACGCAGCTGTACCTGCTGACTCCCTTTGGTCAAAAGGTTCACCTTTTCCATCGGTTCTACCACCTAGTCGGGAAACCAATCCCCAAAATGGTTGGGTAGGTGATCCATGTACTTCCTCCTACTCAGGGTATGAAATCCACACTATGACCTTTGAAAACAACCCCACTCTCCACTGAGAGTATCAACCAGGAGTCACAGGCTCGGCTCGGCTCGGGTGGTGTGCTTTGCTTCGTCCGCCATTGCTTCGGGGCCGTGTGGATGTGATGGGGGCACCCCGACTTCCTCCGTTCGTTCGCCACCCGGACATGTGACTCCTGGTAGTCCAGCCTAGTAGCGATGGCCTCCACCCTAGTAACCTAGTCCAGCACTGCCCAGTTTGGGTGGGTTGGTCACATTAGTGTGTAAACACTGCTCACCCTCCACTGCGATCGATGTATAGACTCTTGAGTAGTAACATCCTCCCAGAGAGGTTAAACAACCTAGCCTCTTCCTGTGTTTTTTTTATTTATCAAGTGTCTATCATGATGTATTTTCTGTTCAGCCACGCTTTGAGGAACTCCTTCCCTCATTCCCTACTCACCAGAAGAACCAATCCCAAAAAATTCACATACTGTACAAGTAAATGTGACCTACACTGACAACCCCAAACCACCAAAATGTGGGTCATCTTTGCGCGGAGACCAATGGGCCAAAGCCCAGCTGAACAAGTTGGGTGAGCTGAACAAGTTGCGGTCCCAAAGCCGTTGAAGTCGAGTTCGGGCCCAGTGAAGTGAAGTTCCCAATTCAGATACTGAAAAGGGCATTGAACATATCATACAGCAAATGACTCTCGTCTTGGATTCTCAAGTCCCGGTGGTCGGACCAAATGGTGGGGAAACCCCCATTTTTCACAGCCACGGCTTTGGGTATGAAAGACCAAGAGCAACGGCAGTGGTGGGAAACATGTCTTTGGAGTGTCTTTTTCCGAAAAGTGAGGCTTGGACGTCCTCGCTTCGGCTTTGAGGGTCCATATCTCTGTGTCGTCTCTGTGCGTCTCTGTGTGTCTTTGCGTGCCTGCTGTGGACATGCATACATATCTAAACTATTTCATTTACATTAATGGCCTTTGATGGCCTTTGTATGTGGGTTCTTTCATCATCTGTTTGATGGATATGATGGTTTTTGTCCGTTCGGAAGTGGAAGTGGGCGGAGAAGCTCCTGAATGGTGCGACCCTTTGTTTCTCCAAGGGTTGACGCGATACTTGCATGGTATATTGCTGGGTTTGGACCCATCTTCAAGGGCCAACCAACGCAGAAGACCGTTGAACTCTGGATCCATTCTGTTGCGGCGCCGTCTTCAGTGAAAGCTGATGGGACCCGCCCTGCTATGCGTGAAAGATCTTCTTTCCGTCCAAAAGGGCCACCGACCTGTCCCCGGCGACTCGTCATGTTAGAAAGTGTAAGATGACGTCAATACCCATACTTTCCATGTATGTCAGAACCACTGGTTTTGACTGGCAGATGTCACAAAGCCCATACTCTCCATGGTACTGGAATATATATATATATATATATATGCCTACATTGACCCGCCCACCACCCCTGGCCGGAACTCTCGGCAGTCCGTCATGGTAGTCCCAGCGGTCGGTCGTGTCTGGCTCTTTTGTACCCAAACACTCCATGGGACTGCCATATACACCTACATTGACCCCTCTGGCACCACCCCAACTGATCGGCAGTCCTATGGCAGTCCCATGGAGTGTCTGGCTTACAGTGGTTTCAGAGGTTCGATGGCACTGGCACCCCTACATGTCCTCAGAGGTTGGCATTCGCGAGAGGATTGGGTGCGACTCCGATGAAGCTTGACGGGTTTGCTGGACTCCACAGAACTACCAGTCTACATGGAGTGGTTCTTTTGGTGTAACGATTTTTCCGTCCAAACCAGGAGACCGAGGTTGTCTCTCCCACGGACACATCGACGAAAACCTCGACGACCCATTGACCTACCGTTCCAGGGAGGTGTTGACCAGGCGCGAACCAGGGAGGTGCTGGCCCTTCCGGCGCTGTGGGCGGCATGGGAGCTGAACCATGCCTTACATGGCTTGGTATGTCAGCTTTACAGCGCAACAAGGGCGGAAGTCCATGGCGGCCCAAACTGGGCCGTGTGTTCCGGCGCCAATGGCGGCGCGGTGGAGTTGGGGATCGATTTCACCAAGGAGCTTTCAATCGCCAAGGGAGCGATAGCGTTCTACGTCCGCTTCTTTTTGGCTCGAGGGATGGATGGCCCGAGCAGCAGCCTGATTCTAGAACATTGATGGATCATTCGAACCGGCTCCCTGAAATGATGCGAAGATGTTCTTCGAAGGTTCTCCTGAGGGGGAGGGTATCCCTGCAGGACATGATCCCAAAACCTTGGACTTGTCCAGGATGCCGGGGAAAACGATAAAAAGCATATTCACAGTCGGAATAACCCAGCAAAGCCTTGGAAAAAAACACGGTATTATTCCCGTTTGGATTCCCAACTTACCTTCGGAAAAAAACACACAAACACCTGATCCGCAAAACCCTGTTAAACTCTATCCTGGACATCTCCCCTTCTACGCGAGGTCGCGAGGCCTGGAGGTGTACAGCAGAGGAAGAAGTCCCACTTGCAGTCCTTGCAAGTTACGGATGCTTGTTTGAAGGTGTCAGTAGGAAATCCATGGTCACATGTACCTGTTCCGAAGCACTTTGGAGTGGCTCTGGGGCCAAACATGCTACCTTCTACTCCAGAGCGTTGCGCGCCCGGCGCAGGTTTGGGGGATTCATATGGATTCACTCCTGGCTCCTGAGCTTCCTTGGTAAAACCACCAGCTGCTCCACTTCTTCGACTATCCCTTCACCGCGATAGAACATGCTTCCCTTCCGATCTGCCTCGAAGGGCGCACAAGGAACCCTGCCACCTCTCGTTTCCCACCGCGCGAACCGTCCGGTGGGAGCGGTCCTGTACTTCTTGAAAACAGCACATCCGGGGTGATCTCCGAGGAACGACGGAGTCCGACCGCAACTACCCAAACCCGTTCAGGGAGCCAAACATCATAGTTAAAGAAAGAAAGCATGGCTTCCCCATCCAAAGATCCAAAGATCCGTGTTTAACGAAACAAAAAGCCATCTAAGACAAATCCAATCCCTGGGGTTTAGGGACTAAACACCTCTTATCTTTAGTCCCTTAAACCAATCCAATGAGACTTGGGCTTCGGGTTCACCAGGGTGGATTCGACGGACTTCCTCGCTCCGTCCGGAATCACGGAGAAGAACTGTGCCGCAATGGGGGCAGAAATCGGGTCGGAAAATAGGTAACTTCAGGTATAGACGGTATAGACATGGAACACATCTCTATAGATGATGGATGAATTGCATTGGACATGCGCACAACAAAAATCATACAAGAAGAGACTCCGCCCAAGGATTGGAAACGCAACCTTGTGATATCACAGCATGAATCCCTCAGGCCTTCTGGCTACCAACTTCAACTTACAGTCTCCAAACTGTGGACAACTGTTTACACCTCGAACTCTGCGGAACAAAATCCCACCAGGAGCCCCACAAAACCATTCGCTAGGTCGTCACTAGGCGTAGGCGTGATGGACCAACCCCTGTATCCGTTGAAACTCCTTGAAGGGGATGTTGGGATAGAGCGAGCCTCGGATGCCAGCGCGGCCACGCGGATGCAGGTTTCACGTGGGGCAGGAAAGCAAGCAAGCTACTGGGTGATTGATTGATGAGTCCAAGACATATTTTTCACTCATACGTGGGAAAGTGAACGTGCTGGGAAAGGAATTCGAGTCTAGAAGGCCAGCTAGCTCTCCTTCTGATGTGAGCTGAGCAAATATGTTCTCTGACGGACTCGTTTGGCTTGGGGGAACTCTTATGTCACATGAGTTGTCACATGAGTCATATCTGTGATGGTGACAGTGACACTTGACACCTGGTACATCCTGGTACCCTCAGTGGCACCAGCAAAGGATCGCAACAAATTCCCCAAACCGCAGTTGTTTCCTCTCTTTTTTAATTGACAAACAACACATGTCTATCACTGTACATGGAGATCGCATGGATTTTTTCGGAGATCGAGCTGAGTCCCAAGTCCTCCCCCTTCTTTGGATCGTCGGGAGAACCCAATGTCGATTCCTTTTGGATGAACCTGGAGCCATTTTGGTCGACCGAAAACCAATCCTCATGAGCGCGTTTCGTTCCATCTTCTTTGCGAAACGAAACACGCGGAACCAGTTCCACCCAGAACCAAGAGAGGTTGATCAGCCTATCCTAGCCCGCGCCCATCCCATATGTACCACCTATCCCAGGGTCCGAACGTGAAGCGACCTCTCAACCTCTGCACCCAGCCACCCAGCAGGTTCCGAACGTCAGAAGCGCTTCAGAGGGACGAGTTCGACCCGGCCGAGTTCGACGCGATCGGGTTCGAGAGACGCGATCGCGTTGTGGGGTGTAGGTCTGAACCACTGGGAACTGGATGCCGCTCCAAAGCACCGAAAAAAACATGGTAGGTTTAGACTAGACCTAGGCTTCGAGTAAATCTGTCACAGAAGCACATCTTGGTCGATTCTTTCCACATCATGTTGATATATCCCATACACGACCTGTCTGGGACTGGAATAGGACTGCCGCCCCAGAAAGACCAGCACCATCACCCCGACCCCGACCGGCCGGACTAGTCCGTCGTGGCCCAGCGGTCGGTCGCGTCTGGGTATAGAATTCCAGTGCCATTCTTAGTGTCTGGGATGGAGAAGTTGCACCTTCTCTACACGAGCACTCTAAGATCTCTAAGACTCCAAGGGCACGGCTCTTGGCAGTTCTGCTGCTCTTGTAGCTGCCGACGCTCTTCCTGAGGGCATCTGAACCAGCACCGAACCCCTGCCAGGTCTCCGAAATGGAGGGTTGGGCAGGGCCCGTGCCCAGGTTTCAATTGGTGACCTGTGAAGTCGGTGCTGGAAGACAAAACCAACATAATGACCTTAACATATAACCCTAGGCCCTAGACGCCCAGCCAATATGTTGCATCATCGAAAACATCATCCTGTGGTAAAGGAGGTGGCTTTTGCTTACCCAAAACGAACCTTTTTAACTGCATTGCCACAGGTGAAAGGATTTGAAAGTGAAAGTGCTTGGTTGTCAACTAAAAGCCTCGGAGCCTTTTTCAACCCAAGCATCCCATCGTCAATGAAGGGTTCAAAGCCCAACTTGCCATCCTGGCACAAGCTTGGACATCGACCAAGCTGTAACGGATGAAACTGAAAGGACTCGAAACTCATGCGACTTTTTGTACATAGAGACATGACCTTTCTTCCTTTTCTTTTTCTTTGTTTCTATTGTCGATGGCCTCCCACCTCGATGGCCTCCAACCTAGTAGCGATGGCCTCCAACCTAGTCTAGCGATGGCCTCCAACCTAGTCTAGTGATGGCCTCCAACCTAATAGTGATGGGCTATTCTTTTTAAAATCTCAAGTTGATTACTCCTGCCGCAGCCGCCAAAACTTGGGTTCAATGACTCGGCATGACCAGTTTCATCCCGTAAACAAACCCTGCAATGCTCGAAGGCTGGGTGTCCAGCGTGGCTGGGCTGCTCAGCAGTAAATCTGGAAGAAACTCGCCTTGACTTCGAGTGAAGCCCGCCCTGAGAGTTGCTTTGGAAGAAAGCAAAGCACATGTATTATATATAACAAAAACAACTCGCTTCCCACCAGACCGCACCCCAGTCAAAACACAACAATCACCTCACTCCATCGATCTCTCTCTCTCTCTCTCCCCCCTCTCTCTCTCCTTTGTCTCCTTCTTCACCGACTTGCGCCGCTCCTGGGAGAAAGAAAGCTCCAAGCCCCCGTGCACAGCCCGAGCTCAGCAAGTCCAGTGTCCGGTGTCCATCATTCACCACCCTCGACCGTGCGACCGAAGGGCAACTGAAGGATGACTGCCCTCACACATGAACCATTTGGCTTTTTGAGGTTGAATTTCCGTTCCCCCTGTTTGATCACTGCACGTAGCTATTTGATGCTATAGCTGATGTTATTTGCTTGTTCCTTCAGTAAGAAGTGCACCTTCAGTTACATCCAACCATGAAATTCAAGGGCTGGCTAAGGGAACAACCTCCAAATCTTTTTGAGCTTGTTACTATCACTAACAGCAAACATGAACATAACATTCACACATCTATGCAAAACCCGAAAAGCAAAATGGAACCCACTGACCCGAATGCACACCTACTCGAAAAGCGGCCATACATTGTTTGTCACTTGTGGGACAATTTTGTGGGACAAAGCCACACAATTTCCACAGCAACCTCTAATTTCGGCTCACCGCAGACCACCTCGGAGCTCCGTGCTGCTCCCAGTACCTCCTTCGCACTTCAAAGTTGACCCTGGAGCTCGGACGCTTCCTCCAAAAGTCAATCTGAGAACTCTCCAAAAAGAGTCTTATAAAACTGGAGCGGCAAAACGATCAAGGCGCAGCCTTTTCACGCAGAGCTTGAGCCACGGTGAGTGGCGGTGTAAGGATTTCACGAAGGCACCAAGTGGGGGAAAAGTGCCTGCACATGAACGATCATGATTCCATGTTCATTCTCACACCCGTATGTATTTACGGAGTGAAATCCACTTTCAAGGAACCATGGGACATCAAAAGGTCCATCTGCGGCGCTTTCATGGCTTTTGTCAAGCCATCAGTAACCATGGTGGCGGTCGCCACCCACTTCACTCTCGTCGGAGCGCTGTCAGGGATCTTCTCGGCGTATGCCGGGTTGCCGATCTCTTCTCCCAAGGCGCGCCACACTTCCTGCCTAAGACCAGTCAGGTCTATTGCAAGCCTCTTGTCGGCGACTTCTCCTCCGCCTGCATTGCAAAGGTGGTCTGAGAGGCTTCGGCAGTCGGTGAAGGCATCGGGTGGCATCTGGCGCCAAGACAGCGTCCTTCTTCGCTGAGCCCGTGCTGAGGTTCTTCACAGCAAACAGCACGTGACGTAGGTGCTCAGCCTCCTCGCTTCCAAGTTGAAGCGACATGGTCTCCGACTGAAGGGTCGAGCGGCAGACCCGCTTGATGGTGTTGCTGTGCCATTCCAAGGGGTAGACCAATCCAGAGCCGGTGGTCTCAAAGTCACCAGGGCCAAGAGGAGGATGCGGCCGGTCTGGCTGCGGTGTCCGGTGAGGTTGCCGTTGACGTCCTCAAGACTCTGACCAAATGATGCATCGGTCACACTGACAATGATGGCCTCCTCAAGCTTCATCGCCTTCCGGGCATAGAAGAGCCCCTTGTCACGGTCCTGCATGCCGAAATTGAGAAGCTTGTTGGCCTCAATGAGGTGGCGCACTTGAGCGCGCTGCTGCACAGCTTGAAGTGGGTTCACACGGAAGCAGATGTCCGGACGGCAGATTCGTCCGAGCCAGCCCAGTGATCCGACCACGGATCGCAATTGTGAGATCTCTGAGGGAGTGGCTTGTGCTGAGAGCTGCTTCCTCCGTTGTGGCTCCACATAGATGGCCTTGGTGCGATCGAGCACGCTTGGACATGTAACTCTGATGCCATCGGTGGATTGCTTGATGATGCGGCCACAATACTTCATCTCGTCATCTTCAACCATACCGAACTTGAACTCTTTCTGCACCGCCAACATGACATTCTGCATGTCTTCGAGACCGCACCATAGAAGGTCGTCAACATGACATCCCAGAAGTCCGCGGATGGTGCCTGAAGGTCCCGGCAGGTAGTAGGCGGCTGTCTCAAAGGGCACAGGAACGAGCCCTTTTGAAAGCAAGACATCATGCAATGCCTTCCAGAAGCCACGAGGTGCATCTCGTGTTCCATAGACACTCTTCCGTGCCACCAGCAAACTGCCAGGTTTGACAGCAGGATCTGGAATTCCACCCTTCGGAAGGGTAATGGCGAGCAGGCGAGTGATCCATGCTCCTTGGAGGAAAGCTGCACTGATGTCTCCAGCACGGAGTGGTGCTCCGAGTGCTGCGGCCCAACAAATGATGAGGTTGATGAAGAGTTGACTGGCCGTAGGTGAATCTGTGCGAACACCTTTGTTCTCTTCCAAATCGCCCCTGACAACAAGGCGAGACTTGAACTTGTCCTCTTCGCCCTCTTCAGCCTTGTTGGTGTCGACCCAACGGCTTGGCAGAATCTCCGCATCGGGGTGGTTCTCCTTGAACTGGTCCACGTCGTCGGGCGGAATCACATCAACTGCAGTGAACTGCATCCAGTTGTTCCACTCTTTAAGGCGTGAGCCAGTGAGCTTGTCTTGTACTTCAGGAGGTTCACGATCAAAGTTCAACTCGCGGCCAGCGCCGGCTTGCTTGCGGCGCTTGTTTTGAAAGCGTTTGGCCACAAAGCAATGGAAGTGGTGTTTCTCATGGATGCCAAGCAGTGACGTGTCTCCTTCTGTGGGGACTCGAACATTCTGGGCCTCTCTCACAGGTGAACGTGACCGTTCACGGCTGGTCGTCGTAGACGAGGGCTGAGGTACTGCATGAAGTCCTGGTGGTGGACGAATGGCATGTCCATCCAACTGGTCGAGCGATCGGTGCATCGCCTGTTGAAGTGGTGTGTTATGATGTGGTACAGGACGTTGAAGAGGTGTGTCCGGAATGTGCTCACCCTCTGGCTCTTCAGTGCCAGTCCGGTTGAATGGAGCCTGAGCTGGTAGTGCTTCTTCGGGAGGCATTGGCTCTTCTTCCACGGTCGGCAGTTCAGCGATGCCAGGAGGTGCAACTGAAGGTGTGTATTCATCATCAGCTTCGGGTTCCATGTCAGCTGCAGGTCCAGTCACGGACGGTATCTCGACATAGCCAGGTTGGTGCTCACCATCATCTTGCCACGATCCGAGCTGGTAGTCATCAGCGAAGGGGTTGTGGTCTTGGTGGACATCCCTCATGGCTTCTCGTGCTCGCTTGCGACTTGGACGTAGTTCCAAAAGCTGTTTGGCATAGACCTCGGAAGCAGAGGCTGGGCGGAGTGAGCTTTCTGGAGCCACGAGTGGGATGCCGCCGTGGACGATCCAGACGGCTGCTCTGCCGTCACGGCCGATGATGCGGCCTGGTCCATGCCAACGGCCACGGCGATGAAAGCACACGAGATCTCCTTGTTGATATGGACCTCGTAGGGGAGTTGATTTCCTCAGAAGCGCAGCTCTGATTCTTCTGCTGGAGTCCACCTTGGTGAAAGCGGCCTTGGCAGCTTGTCGAACCTGAAGCCGGATGCCAAACTCATCTTCTGGCTCTTGGATGGCGTCTTGCACGCCCAGATACTTGCCCTCGGACTCTTCAGAGGTCAGGGAAGTCACATCGATGGGGAGCTTGCCAAGTACCCATTGGTAAGGCGTGAACCCTTGGTGGTTGAGCTTCATGTTCTTCACAACACAGGTCTCGCCGACGAGGACCTTGACTTGGTTCACACCAATGACTTGGCGTTCCTCCATGGCTGCATACAGCAACTCCTTGAAGAGTCCTCCTTGACGTTCTCCACGGCCAAGCTGGAAAGGTGCCTCAACGCCAGTGTAGCGGAGGACAATGCCGTGGATGCGCAAGAGGTCTTTCATGCGGCCATGATCCAGCCATTCAGAAACGCTTCAGCACAAATGGAGGACTTTGGAACTCCTCCACCAGCAACCCACCAAGCTTGGTGATACAAGGTGCCCAGGTCGATGGCCGACAGGACGGTGTGCCGGTTGTTGCCACTGTCTCGGACTTCAAAGCAGTCCAAGCTCACTTCGTAGTTGAAGACTGGCTTGCCAGGCATCTTTTTCTTGACCTTCATGTGTTTACGGCAGCTTTCACAGGCAAAATGCTTGCAGGCCTCAATGACAGTCGGCGTGGCGCAGGCCGTTCGCAGCAATTGGACCATGTTGGACACAGGGCTGTGGCCTGTCATGTTGTGCAGTCGCCTCAAAGCCAATCTGGTAGGCCTGGGAATCTTCAGCCAGCGGATGCGACGTTCTTGTTCTCGCTCCATCTCTGCAAACTCAGTGGGCGGTGGGTTCTCTTCCATGAGCTCCTGACGTTCCATCTCAGCCTGGTTCAGGCGGTGTGGACGAAGGTCTTGACGAGGAACCATATCCTTTTCATCAACGAGGGAGTCAAGTAGACCCATGTCGAGCTCAGCAGAGCGTTCCTGGATGTCTTCGGTGTAGAAGCTGGCCATCAAGGTGCGGTTGTTCAGCTCTTCCAGGAAGCCATCAAGCATGGCACGACACAAAGGTTCTGGCCACTCTTGAGCTCGTTTGGTGCGTTGTCCACCTTCAAGAACTTGGTGCTCATGTAGTTGATCACAAAGACGGTGGAGTCGAGTCTTCACTGGCTCGCTGGCAGTCATGAAGCCGGTCGGCTTCTTATGAGGCATGTGGTTGTCCCAATCACGAAGGCCGAACTGGCACTGGTCACATCTCACCAACTCAAGTGACTCGAGGGTCTCGGCGTCGGAGAGGTTCTCGGCAATGAGCTGGCGCATGCTGTAGGTGTCCCATAGGGCACTTGTCCATGGATTCTCAATCAGCACTTTCCGTCCGCGTTGAAGGCGCTGACGGACGATCTTCCTCAGCCATTGAAGGAAGGGATGCCAGGATTCTCTCTCTGCGGTGATGCGCTCCTTCACGGATTGGCTCTTGCTCATATTGAGGTTCGACCACGGTCCAAAAGGTCCGCACACCGGGCTGAAGGTGATCACGTAGGGGTCCTTCTCCATGATCTCATGCTCCAGCATGTTCCGGACAGATGGTCGAAGAAGATCAGAGCCATCAAGACGTAGGTCAACAGGAGCGGCAACTGAGAGTCCCATGTCCATGGCCAGGGCAGTCAAGACAGCTGCTCCAGCGAAGATCTCCATGAGGAAGACACGACAGCCACGTGGCAAGGAAGCGTGGTGCTTCTTGCCCCGGAGATGCCCCCATAGGCACTGATCCTTTTGCTCGAGCTCGTGGATGTCGTCTCGCAGCTGCTTCTTCTGACCTTTTGAGAGGGTCTTGATGTTCTCTTTTCCCATGTCCAGGTGGACTTCACAGCATGAACTGGTAGATGCTCTTGGCGACGGTGACGCCGTAGGGCTCGACGGTGCAGTTGTTGGCTCCGTCGTGGGACTCCGTGTCGTGGCTTCTTCACCTGCCAAATCAAAGGTCTCGGCAGACTCAAAGAGCTCCTCAGGCAGGGTCAACTTCTCATGGACTGTGTCCGCATTCTCATGTCCCGCCAGTAGTGCGAGGTGAGAAGGCAAAAGATGAAGACCAAGTAGCCCATTCACTTCGGTCACCTTGATGTTCCCGCCAAAGAGCTTGCTGTATACGGTGCTGGTGTCACCGGTCAAATCCAGCTGGAGTTGTAGTCGTCGTTGATCTCGGATGGATAGGAGCAAAGGTGCATCCGAGTTGCTGAGCTCAGTGCTGTCCAGGGCGTCTTCCAACTCAAAACAAACTTCAAGGCGTCGGAGTCCTTGGGTGCTCACAGATCCGCTGATCCCTTTGATGCTGCAGGTCTCTTGTCGGAGGTGCGAGTCTGTGATGTCCTGGTTGGTCGCCCTCATGTAGCGCTGCATCCAGCGGTCTCCATGGCAGGTGCGATTGCATCCGGAATCAAGGATGGCAATCATCCACATCTCGTTGGCCTCAATGCCATCTTCAGGATACACAGGATCGTGGACAGCCATGTATGCGGTGGGGTCATTCTCGAGACGTTGCTTCTCGCGAAGGTAGGACAGGAGGTCCTTCATGCCACTGCTAGGCGCAGACTGAGACAAGCACCATCTGACGTACTCGGAGTCCTGCCAGGCATACCAGTATGGTTGGCCCTTGTGCTTGCCAAAGGTGATAAGCTTCTGGCCCCAAATGTTGAGCTGGTCACGCTCAGGTGTTGTCCTTGAGATCGATGGTGATCCAGCCATTGGCATGCTCCGTTGAGGTGTCCGCGGGGGAGTCCGCGGTGGCTCAGCAGGCGCATCTGATGATGGGCGAGGTTCATGGATGTAGCCAAAGAGGTCAATGTTCACCGCAGTGGCATCAATGATGCGGTGCAACTCTTCCAAGCCCAAAACACCATTGTTCTCCTTCGCCCGGATTGCTCCAACGATCACTGCTGAGCGGACGATCTCCTGGATGGTTGTGATGCTGAAGAACTTGTCATCCGTGACGGGTTGTCCAATCGCACCCTGGAGGAAGTCACGATGAGCAGGTAGAGGTGGTCGTCCAGGAGCTCCAGTGCCAGGGAACGTCTTGTCATCCCAGCGGCCTTTGGTGACCTTGCCGCAATCGAGGCACACATTGCGCCAGTTGATGCCATTGGACCCGCGCCAAGTCACGCGATGGTGTCGGCAGAAAGCAGGCTCCTTGATGTAGCCTTCCGGAGTTGGGCTGACAGTGGATGCTCCGGTTTTCTTCTCACGCTTGAGGACTTTGTTGCAGTCCAGGCAAGTCTCCATGTAGTAGTAGCCATTGGTGCCCTTCTTGGTGATCCGTGTGTGAGGACATAGATCTTGTTCCGGCGTGGATGGTGCTGCAGTCAGGTTGGTGTCAACTGACGAAGGTGCGGATGAGGGTCCTGGTAGTAGAGGAATACGAGCTTGTCCATGTTCTTCCTCCTCCACATCCATCTCCTGCAACGTGCTCAGCACCTGATCAACAACGGTCACAGGAAGGTGCACACCAGGTGGATGCCCATGTGGTAGAGGCCAAGGTGCTTGATGCTCATGAGGTAGTGCCTCAACAGCCAAGGTACCGGGAGGTTCAGGTACCTTCAACATGAGATCCAAGACTTGGTCAGCGGTCCAGCCTCGGTCATAGAGCGACTGCACCATCTGCTGTGTCGCCTCAGTGGATGCCGTAGGCGTCGAAGAGGATGGTCCCGTCGATGCACGTGTTGATGCCCTTGGAGGGGTTGAGCTTGAGTGCATGACCATGTTGCAGACATCCTCAGTCTGACCAGTTGAAGGCCCTTCGTCATCATGCATGGCGAAGTAGACCACACGAGTCTTGGGCGAGCCACCTTTGCCTTTCTTGCCCTTGGATGAACTTGCCGATGTCGAAGCCGTGGATGTAGAGCCAGGTCTCTTGCCCTTGCCAGAGCTCTTGGGACATTCACGATCACCAGACCAGTGCCCCTTCTGTCCGCATCGGCGGCATTCAGTCTTGAGCTTCAGCTGTTGTAGTCGGGCACGTTTCTCTTGAAGAGACAGGCTGCCGGAGACTTCAAAATGACGTTGTCCGGCGAATCCACCATGACCTTTTCCTTTGGCACTGCTGCGGACATTGTAGGCCTCATACTCTAATTGCAGCACTTCAGCGGCCATGGCACAGGCTTCGTCGTTCTCCATGTCGAGGCCTTCTTCCATGTACCAACCCATGTACTCGGCCATGAAACCATCGCCGTCCTCGGTGACAGAGTGGTAGGCCTCATCATCATCAGGCCACTCGGACAAGTCACCGATGTCCTCGGTGAAGCCGGCGAGTGACTGCGACTGCAGTTCCCATGGGATGGCATTGTCATCATCTTCCACTGCGGCATAGGAGCGTGAGGATCCCTTGCCATTGCGGTGCTTCCAGTCCCGCTTGTTGAAGTCCTTGGAGAAGTGGTTGAAGGGCTTCCGGTAGTGATGACTGCGTTCTCGCTCTTGGATGCGAGGGTGTTGATTCAGAAGCTCAGTGGCCACCTTGTCGACTGAGAGCTTGCCGTGAAGTGTGGTCCTGATCATGAGCTTCTGATCGTCCGTGATGTTGCTGTTCTGGAGCATCTGTTCAGCTAGGATGCCTTCGCTGACTTGGAGGCTGTCGTCGAGCTGTTGCAGGTATGTCCACCATGCACGCCTTCTCATCACGTAGGACGACATGGCCTCGCCCGGTTGACGGGCAAGGATTCCTCCATCACGAGCTCCAGCAGCATACAGCTCACGGGCCTCAAGGTCCTTTCGAGGCTTCAAGCTTCGCTCGAGCAGTCCAAGCAGCTGCTCGTGACCATCCTTCTTTCCAAGGTCTTCTATGCTCAGTTGTTGAGCGAGCTTGAATGCACTTCCCCTCAGGCCTTCCAGCAGCCTCAAGCCTAGCGGACCAAGCTTCTTCACCTCCGAGGTGTCCATCAAGGCTTCTCTAGCTGCCCGGGCGCGAACCCGATGCAAGTATTCTTGCAGCGCAGCAGGTTCGCCGTTGAAGCGAGGAATGCCAAACTTTCCCTCCGAGCTGGCCTCCTCAGCGGCGGCAGAGACAGCGGTGGCTGACATGCCACCATCGTAGCGCAGGTTATCCAGCAAAGCCATTGCTTCGCTGGCGAAGTCACAGGGGTGGTAGGAAGCTGCAAGGTTCTGCATGAACCAAGCAGCTCCGCTGCCAGTATAAAACTGGAGCGGCAAAACGATCAAGGCGCAGCCTTTTCACGCAGAGCTTGAGCCACGGTGAGTGGCGGTGTAAGGATTTCACGAAGGCACCAAGTGGGGGAAAAGTGCCTGCACATGAACGATCATGATTCCATGTTCATTCTCACAGTCTTTTGTGCGAGACTTTCTCCAAAAGTGAGAGGAAGTCTCATCAGTGGTAACACATCAAGCAGCCCTGCCAAGCAGCTTTGGCCACTCCAGCCTCTCAAAACCACAGCCGCCTTCCACACCAATCCCACTCAATCAAACGTCCCGGCTTCACAACTCCCTGCCTGCCCTAAACGAGCACGATTCGTGCCGTACCTGCCGCGACAAGTTGCGACCGTCCACATCTTCACATAACTCCAGCTATAAACTTGCACATAAACAAAACGCGTTTGGAATGACGTAACGACGTACCTTCGACACTCTCAGAGCCATATCCACCAGAGACGACTTGCCACGAAAACACCGCGCTCGAGGCATCCTGAAACGCCCATGGCACAGCGCGACGCGAGATTCCAAAGCACCGCTGTCACACGACCGGCCCATCCCGGCGTTCATGGCACGTCGCGACCATGTGCTGAACGAAACGACGAAACGCTGGCAGCTGCGACATCTCACGCTTCACAGCGAATCAAACATCAGCTTTGCACGGCTATTTCGCACCGAGTCGGATCAGGTTTTCGTCCACTCCATACGGCAGAAACTCGTCCAAAAGCGACCGCTTTCGACGGCGACCCGCCGCGCCGCGACGAGACCTCAAGCACCAAGTCCCGACGAGGCTGTTAACAGCCTTAGGCCTCCAGTCGTACCTTCTGAGAAGATGGGACTGGGGTGGAGGGTCCAAATATCGAGGAGGTACGACTGGAGGTGTAGGGCCAACCCCCCCGGATTTCTCATTTGGGACAACGGGAACCCTTCGCTATGAGGCCTCTTCACTCTTCAACTCTCTCCGTGACTCTGAAGAAAGTGTCGATCCAACACTGTAAGAACCTGCAAAACAAAAGATCATCTCAGGTGGGCTAAACCCACAAATCCAGACCCATCCCTGCTCAGCTCCCTCAACGCTGCTTCCCCCCTCACACGAAACAGCTTCCTGAAAACTCGCACAAACCCTCGCGCGAGCGACGCGCGCCCCTCCGTGCTCCTTGTCCAAGGGGGCGACCACTTGCTCAGGGTCCGCATTCTCTCGCAGGAAGCGCTCCCCGGATTGCGGGATGGGCATCTGAGGACCCTCTGCAGAGACCTCGCCGCCACGGGGTCCGACGGGTCCGACGGGTTGGCGGACCTGGAGAAACACCAGGGGTCACCACTTGGAGCACCAAGTCCCTGGTAGATGGTGTGCTCTCGCCGAACTGGATGGTGTTCTGGTTGAGTGGGACACACAATTCGCAGCTTCGCTCTTCTTTGGGAGAACTGGATGGAGATATTGGTTTCGAAGCACCCAGCGAAGGAAGAAGTGCAACGCACCACTCCTGAGAGGTGCGGAGAGTCTGGGTGCTGGTCTGGATGTCTGGGTACCCATCCAGCAAACTGGCCAAGGACGAGAGAAGAGAAGAGCGCCCCCGTCCCGGGCTTGTGCTGAGCATTACATGCACTTGAGTCTTTAGACTGACTCCTTCAGTCTCCCTGGAACAGAGGTTCACCTCACTCTCCGCCTGTTCGAACGTGAAAGGGGAGGTGTCCCCACTCCCAAAAGCTGTTAGCAGGTGATCCACGTACTTCCAGGGTATGTCAAGACTGGAGGTGTCGCACTTGTGGCTCATTGGTTTTTAATCCACTTGATGAGGATGACATGGGATCACGAAATCACCTGACGCAGCTGTACCTGCTGACTCCCTTTGGTCAAAAGTCAAAAGGTTCACCTTTTTCCATCGGTTCTACCACCTAGTAGGGAAAACAATCCCCAAAATGGTTGGGTAGGTGATCCATGTACTTCCTGGCTAAATTATGACATCCACACACTATGACCTTTGAAAACAACCCCACTCTCCACTGAGAGGCTCGGCTCGGGTGGTGAGCAAAGCACTTCGTCCCAGGGCCGTGGAATGCGATGTTCGCAACCCCGGAACCGGCACCCTCGGAGGAAGAACGACCAACGAACTGGTAGAAATCCATGCCGCACCCAACAGTTCGTGGTAGAAAGCCTTTGGAGGCCGCACCTCTTTTTGTGACCTAACCCAGGCCGCATCCCATGTGTGTCACTAGTCTGATCAGGACCAGGTCGACAGGTATGGAAAAAAGGTGCCCCCCAAAACTCTGAGCCGATCTGGGCAGGGTTAACTAGACCAAAAACCATTCCCCAGACACTCCATGTATGCCATATATGCCGATCAGTTGGGGTGGTTTCGGGGGTCAATGTAGGTATATATGGCAGTCACATGGAGTTTTTGGGAATGGTTTTAAACGGTCATTCCGGGACGCTGCTTACGAGAATGCCCACGGTTCACATTCCGTCAAGGTGCGAGATCTCTTGTTCGGCAGAGCCGAGGGAGGCACTGGATGTTTGACGTTTGCCAACACCCAAAACTTGAGCCAAAGACCATGGTGATTTGCAGACATGTCCGGAGCAACATCCTATACATCGTTGCAATGATCAGGAAGGAAGAAACAAATAGTTGTGGTCTAAAGACCACTGATGAACTTGAAATATTCTGAAATACAAGGATACCCGGCTCGGATTCTTTCCGTTTGGTGACATCATTGGATCCACTTCGTCTTGCATCTTGAAAGGAGTTACTCCCCTGCAGACCACATGGACCCCCCAGTTCACCACGTGAGCCGGGTTGGTATTCGGAACATGGTCTTCAACCACCAGTTTTCCTTCTCAGGTTCTATGGGATCGTTTGCAGGGGGTCGTAGGCAGAAGAAGAGTCGGGACGGTCGCACAGATGTTCGCACCAACAGAGTCACACGAGTCATGACGCAAAATGTTCGTTGAGTCGATCGTAGCTAGTCAGGGGTTGGGGAACTCCTTGTAGCTCTGAACGCCTCCCTGTTGAATGGGGAAGATGGGTGCCCCTGGCTCCCTCCAGCTCCCTCCTGAGCAAAAGCTAGGTAGTAACTATATATACCCTGGAAGTCAAGTCGACCATTTTTAAAATGGTTGATCTGGTTTTGTAGTGTAAAACCCTTAGTAAAACAATGGTGGTTCGGGATTCAGGCTATTAAAACAATGGTGGGCCACGACTTCCAGGGTGTATTATATATCCCAGATGCGACCGACCGCTGGGACTGCCAGGACGGACTGCCAACCAGTTGGGGTGGTTTGGGGCGGCAGTCCTATTCCAGTCCCATGGAGTGTATGGGTATGGTGCTTGGGGGGGAGGCGAAGATTCCTTTCCTGCACGACCATGCAGCTGGAGCCACCCCAAAACAGAACAAAAAACCCGGATGTCAGGGAACTTCCTGAATCCTGCACTAAGGACGTCTCGTCGCACTGGACGTTCTGGGGCAGGTATATATATGGCATCTGTTCCCAACACAGATCAAAACCACACAGACCGCTGTCACAATCGAAGATCCTTCATACTGCTTAGTTGAATGCAGTTTCGCTGTTTCTGACTCTTTCAGTTTCCCTGGAAAACACCCGGCTTCACCGCAGACCGAACTCCGAGCTCCGAACTCCCTCTCTCGTCCTGTCCTTCTCTCCGATCACGTGAGCCGACCGGACAGGACGAACACTCTGGTTCCCGGGATCTGGTTCTTGGTGAAACCATGGGGTGCCACCCCCCACTCCTCCCAAAGAAAGAACCCAAGCCATGGTGGCATGGTGATCTAGCTACTTCCAGGGTATGGTGAGTAGGCCACAAACCGCCCGGTGGTGTGGGCCAAGAAGCTGCTCCCTTCGTCGGATGGATGCCAAAGAACTCGGAGGGGTAGGGTCGCAGGGAGACAGGGAGAAACGCCACTGTCATCCCTGAGTCCTCCACCCAGACACGACCTGTCTGGGACTGCCAGGACGGACTGCCATAGGACGGCCGATCAGTTGGGGTGGTGGTGCCAGAGGGGTCAATGTAGGTGTATATGGCAGTCCCATGGAGTGTTTGGGCCATGGGTAGGACTGATGATTTCAGTAGGACTTGGGTAGGACGTCCTGAAGCAGGGAGACCTCCATTCCCCGTGACCCAGAGGGTAGGGATGCGCACATGTGGTGGCTCAGGAACTACCCCAGCCCAACAGGGATCACACAGCCGGCCACGCAAAACATGAAAAAAAGGACACACGACAGCAACTTGGATTTGCTGAAGGAACCGGCGAAACCCAACACACATACACCAAAAGGGGGATTCACCTAGGACCCGGGAAAATCAGCATCACCATCAATCCGCAAACACACCAGGCCAACCTGTCCAAGAGATGTTCTCGTCCAAAGAGCTCCTTCCGCGCGGTCTCCGCACAGCTCCTGAAAAGCGGGAGCGCAGTCCGATGGCTGCAGCGCAGTCCAGAGGTGCTCGGTAGCGAAACTGTCAAAAGGATAAAGCTGAGCCACATCCATCTCATGCTTTTTTTTGTGTCACTGAGTACTCATCGGATCTCCCAACAGAACAAAAAATACAAATCCCTTAGCCGGGACCCAACCCATTAGTGGCTTTGGAGCATCTGGCAGTGAGAGTGCTACAGAAGACCATCATGAGTTTTGGGGCCAAGAATAGAATTCACGAAAACGCAGCCGCATCCTCTCCCCAAAATTTGTGGACAAGCTGCTCATCCATTTCATGCGATCTTCGAATCCTACTTCTTTCCCCAAGCTCGGCCGAAGACTTGTGCATCTTGCCCACCAACCCAACGAAACAATCACCGCCGCGCATCACGCGTTTGTCTCGCGGTTGGCCTCCCATTGGCTTCTTCCTTCACCTCTCCCAACCTCAAGGAAAGTGATCTCGACCCTGCTGAAACCTGCGGGAAAATCCCCAAAGACCAGTGACAAACCTGCCGCACATCTTCTATGTATGGCAAACATTGACGTCTATTCAGTCAGGTGGTTGACCCGGTGGACCTATGTCTCGTCCATCCTTAAGAGAAAAGGTCCGACCGTCTGCAGGACTTTTCCACATCACCCAACCCTGCCGATGCCTCAGAATTCACCCCGTCTGGTCCAAACTAGTTGGGCAACAGTAGACTGTATACCAGGACCGGTGTCCCAGAAACTACCATGGATTGACCTAAAGGCTTCCCTGTCTAGGGCACCCCTGGGATGGTCCAGGTAGCTTCCTTTTGTGTTAAATACCATCCAGCTTCTTCAAAGTGACGGTTTTTAAGGGTTCCTAAGTGACCTTGGGAGGCTTAAGTGACCTCAAATTAGGATATCAAAAGGTCACTTTGAAGAACCAGGATGGTATTAACACGGTCATAACTTATGTTCATGGCCATCGAACCACAACCCATCAAAACGAAACGCGACGCATTGGCCAAAGCTACGGCTCAATGCCACTCAATCCCCCACACGGCTCCTTTTTGGACGAACTGCATCCATCAAACCAGCCAAGTTGGGCAAACATTTGGCATAGTTTAGAAGATCCAGGCATCTGTGAGCCTAGAACCTGATTGATATATTGGAGCACTGAAGTGCTGGTCTTTTCTCATCAAAGCAGGAAAAAAAAGCAACATTTTATAAGAACCTCAATCTCGACAGAGCACATCACCAACGGCACATGTTCGACTTTTACCTGCACGCAGTATGCAGGTCATTTTTTGCAGGCTTCTTCCAGAAACTTGGATGGCCCCAGTTTCTGCAGTCGTTCGTTTGCCTGAACTTCGCCCAGCGACAGAACGTAGACGTTGGCCACCATGTCAGCAATCTGATCGCGGCGGAACCGGGCGGTCCACGCCGGTGAAGGCTGGCATGTCCAAAGAATTGGGTGTATTGGCTTGGCTCCTAGGTGTGTTGGGAAGGGATTTGAAAACCTAGGTGTAATGTTGGTGTATGGGTTTCAACCTCTTCCTTGAGGAGGATTTGTAACCTCGCGGGGTTGCTGAAGGGGTTTGAAACCTCTTGTGATTGGTCACGTATGGGGTTGGCCAAGGTGGAGTTTGACTAGATTTATATAGTATCTTGAATTCTTGAACCAAATTGCAAATGACCAGAGGTGTTGTTGACCAAGTGTGAATCTGGCTGGGTTTAATATGCTTTTTTGTTTTACACCTAAACTGTGATTGACCAAACTTGGGTTTGATCAAGTTGATTACTTGTGTCTTTCGATTTTGTTTGTTAAAGCTTTTTGATGAAATTTGATGAACATTGATTAAACTTTATCAAACTCTTTTATTGAACAGTAGCTTGTTTCAACAACATGGTGTTCCAATTCCTTGACAAAAAGCACTTGTTATCCATTAACTATCTTTTTGTGGGCGCCCTTCTGCCAAGAGTTTGCATCAACTTATCTGCTTATCACCCAGCCAAACGCAGCCAAAAGCAAAGCTAAACTTGTATCAGATTGGATTGGACTCCTTGACCAAAATACATTCTTGTGGTGGTAACCTTTTGCCAAGGGAGTGCAGGAGTGCATCAGTCTATTCATCACTCACCCAAAAACAAGGGTGAACCTTATCAGATTGGAAGGAATTCCTTTACCAAAGGATTCAAATTCCCTTTTGGCACGGGGTTGCATCCATCTGTAAGGATATGGTTACTGTATCCATCTTAACTAGTTTATATTATCAAGGGATTGCATTAATCTAAAAGGAAATGGATATCAATTCCTTTTGGCAAGGGATTGGATTACTTCTAAGGATATGGTTATCAATACAAACCACGTTTTCATTCCCATTTGACAAGGGATTGCATCGCTCAGCCAACAGCGCAGTTGAACCTTTCACCAACAAACCTTCGGGTCTCTTTGGTTGAACCTGGGTTCGAAAGGGTTTGACCCCTTGGTTGAATTCCCACAGCCTGTTTCCAAGACCTAGTGGTCCACTTTGCAGTTCCCTTTTGGTAAGGTTTATTGTAAAAAACACACTGAGTTGTGCCACTTTCAAAGAACTTGTTCTCTTAGGTTGCGTAGTTGCTTTAGTACACTCTTAGGTTTGCAAAACAACTGCCACTCCTTGTGAAACATTTTTTTTTGAAAGGATGAATTCTTTGGAATTCACATTCCTTTTGTCAAGGAATTCAGCTTCTGTTGTCAAGGAGTTCACTTGCTTGTGCTTTTGCCAAACGTTAAGCAAACAAACAATTTTGTTCTCTTAGGTTGTCTTTGCTTTGGGGTGAGCTTATGTTTGCAAACCACTGGCAACAACATCAAAGCATGGTGAACCACCACGAACCTCGAAATCTCAAACAGTTCTTTTGCTTGCGCAGAATGTTTTGCTCAAGGACTTCAGCCCGCCTGCCCCGCTCCCACCTCGCTCCCCGTCGCCTCTGCGAAGTCGGGGGTGGTGACCTCCCCTTGCGGCGCGGCGACCGCGGCACCGCTGGGCACAGTGAGGCTCAACGGTGGCGCGTCCTGCGAGCGGTGAGGGCACGGATGGGTTTGATCGATAGCGGGGTGCGACTGAGAACTCATCCATATGGTCCTTTCACGGACATTGGGGGAAGGGCAGAAGATTCCGAGATGGAACAGTCATTCGCCTCTTTACAAGTCACACTGATTCTACAGCTTTTTTTCGGGGAT